TTAATGTCCGGGGTAAAAATGACTGCTGGAATTAATCAGCTCTGCAAGCACAATGATATTTTTTCATCTGAAACCCTGCAGGACAATTGCACTGTTGTATAATTGACCAGGGAGGCAGAAATTCCTCCTCTCTCTTCACCAGTGGCAGGGACAATAAACACAATAACTAGTAGAGTAGCTGCAATTTTTGTTGTATTACCCCCACCCCACACATGCATCTACAAGAAGATACCTCAAGTCAGCAGAACAGATAGGAACAGAAGCAACTCTGCAATGTTTCAGGTGCCACTGTAATGTACAGGCTTTGCAAGAAAAATTTAGGAAGGAGCTGAGTCTCGGTCACACGGGCAGGACGTGGGGAGCAGAGCAATTGTTCATAAGGTGCACAGGCTGTCAGTCACGATCATGAAGTCCTTCAAGTGAGCACAGGCTTGCCGGTGCAGGGTGGTGCGGCACTGGCTGTTGTCTGGAATTTTCTCTACCCAGGTTTGTGCATCAAGGAAATACTGCATCCTGTGTGCAAGTGGGACAGGTAAAGGAGGTGAGTCATTACTGCTGCCATGGAGCAACAGGAAAGTGTAAAACCTTTGGGGCTGCATCCCTCCACTGAGGCATCTCTGAGATCTGGAGGAGTCATCCTAGCCAAGAAAATTGCCTGAAACCTACTTCCACCAGCAGGTTAACAGAGCTTTGAATAAAGTTTAGGAACTGGGACAATAATATAGTATACATAGTATATATAAACAAAAATGAAGTTTAGGAAGCTGGGACAAATCTGGCTGTACTTAAGTTTTGAGTGACACCAGGTAAGCTTGGGCTAAGTTTCTGTTAGAATTTTGTGGACTGGCACAAAGAGCCCCAGTGAACACCAGTGTGACACAGTGAAAGGGGGGGGGGAGAGGGTTAGTTTCAACAGAGCATCCCCAAATGTTTCCTAATTTTCTGTGGTGAGCACCCATACAGCTTCTGGCATTTTACAACTGGACTGGAGAAGACTTCGGAAGTTACATGTCTGCTGGGAGTCTATAGCAGGGGTCTGTTGAAGCAGGTCCTTGACTTAAGCACTCACACTGGTGTCATATATACATGGAGAGGGGGGACCTTCTAAAGTTTTAGGAAGTGCCGCTTACAATTCGGTGGAAGTGATCTCCCTCCTAGAAGCCTTCAAAGGCACTACCTTTCTCCAGGTAAGCATAGGGAAATTATACATTTAAGATTGTTTCTTCACTGAACAGAGTCAGACTAAATTCCTCCTCAGATAAATTTCCTTTTTTTCATTAAAGTGTCACAATGAGAAATGAGACGAATGAGCTATTTGCACCTGTGATATAAAAGATGCTTTGAGAGCTGCTCTTAGACATAGTCCCACCCATTTCTTTTGCAAACACATGAGTTGTGTAAGGCATCTGCAGTAGATGTAACCATGTAGTGTTTCCCATTTTCCTTTTCCAGCTGTGAGTTTTTAACCCAGTGGAGCAAGGGCCAGATTTTGATTCTGAGAATTGTGGGAGCCAGGCTCTGCACAGATAGATGAGCCGATAGATTTGGGCAGCTCAGCTGTTCCCCACAGCTTGCCTTTTGCCTACGGAGTGGTACTCTTTGCATTTTAGTAAAGCCAGCAGAATCAATCTCTAGGAAATTTGACCCTCCCTTTGCTTTCTGGAAGTATTATAATAGTTTGAGTACCCTCTGGATTCATGGTCTGCAATAGCAGCTGCTCAGAAACCATTGCACTTACTTGTTGTTGCAATCAACCGTTTGCCCATCTTTCCCCATGAGGAGGTACCGTTTGCCGGCAACCATGTTCAAGTTGCATGTGGAGCGCGCTAGGAACTGTCGGTGGGTGCCCACTTGGATGCTTTCATCCATAGCTGTGTCACAAGAAGAGAAAACCCCATTAACTTTTCTAATAAAGAGTAGAACCATAGCTCAGAGGACGCAAGCCCTTGTGATCATTTACAGCACTGCTAAGCCAAGGTAATATTTCACTTGAGGGTTGTGGCTTGATGTGGGAGTAAATGGCCATGCTGTGGTAGGCTATTTCTTTTAACATTACCTGACAAAAAGTAAACCATTTCTGTCTTAGCTGGTTGTCTTGGCCTCCTCAGTAATTATTGAAGGACCTGTTTTGCTACAGAGACCTTTCAGGCCTTATGGAGTTTGTTTTAATTCTCAGAGACTGAAGGAAAAGCCAAAGTAAAAAGAAAACATCTATCATACATTTCAGATTGCTCAGGCTCATAGTGGTCTTAAAAACTAGCAAACTAAGTTCAAATGGCTTGAGGCTCAACAATGCAGCAGGTGGTATTAAAAATTCACTCTCCTTAGCCCACCTGATCTGAATGTCAGCAATTTAGCCTTTATGCTATCCTGTCTGGAGCTGATATGTAAGACATGCACTTGGTGATCTCCACATTAGAATAACTTAGAAGATTCTGGTCTGGATTCTGGCTCAGAAGATTATTCATTCAATGCACTGCCCATTACAGAAGTGGGCATCCAAGGCAGAAGAGAAGGGTTCCCAGGTGCTGCAATGACATGAGAGCTGGAAAGATGCTTTTTTATCAGACTAACTACAGGTCATGAGGATACTGTGTTGTTTGGCTAGAACAATAGTTTTCAAAGTCCGTTTGAAAAAAAAAATGCAATATTCTGATGTCTTGCTCTCTTTCTAACTATAATATGAAATGTCATGCAAAACCGTGGTGACAAATTCAACATTAAACCAGCTTAAATTACAAGCAAGACACCATAGTCTTCCTATTAGTTAACAGAAGCTTGTGCAGCTTCTGCTCTCCAAAGTATTATATTACAAGTATGGAAAGTCTAGTATTCAAAATAAAATCCTGAGAGTAGAATAAAAACCTGAAGTAGAATATTTAGCACTAATACAATTTCAGAGAATTTGATGTAGAGTTCTAATTTGTGAAACCTAGTACTAAGACCCCTATCTATTTCCTAGTTAAAACTTGCATTTATTTTACATATGCTACTTATCGGTCAGAGAAAAGTCTGTCTTCAGTACTGTATGCTGTTTTACACCTGCATTTTTCCAAAGAATAATACAGTACTGTAGGTTTTCTCATATAACCCAAGGCCTTTCCATTGTTCCTATGCTATACGGTGTACTGAAAGTTCATTCTGTTCAAGGAATGCAAAGACGGATCAGAACTACTTGAGAAAATGACGGTGTTATGCCTCAGGTTCATTGTGCCTAAATTACCATGTTGTTTCTCGGTTCATATGCTTCACAAATGGCCTAATAAAGTCCAGACTCTAGAGACCATAAGCATTTGAGTTATTACTTTATCATGTTATTATGTAATTTCCAATTCTAAATCTCCAATTAAAAAAAAATGAAAACATAATACTCTGAAGTATCTAAGCCGAATTTAAGAGAAACAATTACTTCATGTTTTAGAATCTTTAACGGGAACTAAAAAAAGATTCTGTTATTTTGCATGGGCCATACCGTTCCCCTAAAGGATTCATAAGACAGCATAAACATTAGCCATCCAAAACACATGCACTGATACTATTAATAATCAAAGTAATCCAAGGAGTGCACATCTGCAAAATTCTCTTTGGCTGACTCCCAAACACACATAAGTGTTTCCATCTGTCTTCTGAACCAACCCTGCATTTGCAAGGATTGATACTGAAATAATGCCAGGGGTCCAGAGCATGAGAATTCACCCTCCTAATTCTCAGCTACCCTTGGTGATGGTAACAGAGACCAACCTCACACAAAACAGCCACAGAAAATATGAAAGATAACAACTCTAGTTCAGTCACGAACTGATTTGGATGCAATGCCTTGCTTTATCTTCATCATTATGGCTTCATGCCTCTTCCTAGCCTTTCCTGAACCTGCTGAAAGCCTACTGATGCTCATAAGCTGCATTATACAGCACAAACCAAAGGGGATTTTTCAAGGGATAAAAAAGAAAGAGGTGGGAATGGGAGAAGCAATCTCTTTCCTTTGACTTCAGATTCAAAGGATGTTTCTCTCAACTGCCAAGAAACAAAATCTTTCCAGTACAAATGCATTGGGGCCCAGAGCTCTAAATCTTTCTAGATCCTGTAGATTTTCTGGAGGGATTAATGAAACTTTCCGTCACGGTACTGTAATTTCCCATAGCTGGTGCTTTGAACATTAGGTACATTAACATTCCCCTGCATATGGGAAGCCCTGGGTATCACAGAATCACTGAATGGCAAGGGTTGGAAGGGACCTCAGGAGATCATTCAGTCCAACCCCCCTGCTAAAACAGGTTCACCTAGAGCAGGTTACACAGGACATCATCCAGGCGGGCTTTGAATATCTCCAGAGAAGGAGACTCCACAACCCCCCTGGGCAGCCTCTTCCAGTGCTCTGTCACCCTCAAAGTAAAGAAGTTCTTCCTCATATTCAACTGAAAACTCTTATTTTCAATTTGTGCCCATTGCCCCTTGTCCTGTCGCTGGGCACCACTGAGAAGAGTCTGGCTCCATCCTCGTGACATCCACCCTTAAGATATTTTTATGTGTTGATGAGATCCCCTCTCAGTCTTCTCTTCTTCAGGCTGAACAAGCCCAACTCTCTCAGCCTTTCCTCATAGGCGAGATGCTCCAGTCCCCTAATTATCTTTGTAGCCCTTGCTGCAAGTATGACCAATGCTGTCTCTGGACTCACAAAGTGTGGACCTGATTTTCCAGTGGGAACTGGACATTGGGCATGGATCACAAGCTGTGTGTCCTGAAGTACTGGGTGACATTGCCAGTCCCCTAGGCAAAGATCAAAGGAGTGAGATAATTATTCTGTTCCAGACAGGGAGGACTTTGAAATCTTTGAAGTTGCTTTTTAAAGGCAATCTCTGGCTGCCAAGCTCAGTCAAACTCAAAACTGACAACCACATGATACCATAGTGGTTGAAGTCTGAGATGTCATCTGACAGCCTCTCCAGAAATTGCTTTGAAGAATATCAGTGTTCACTGATGCTGCTGATAAAGTAAAGTTCACATGGGGACAGCTGGGATGGCAGGCCTGCAAAAAGACGTTGTTTGAGAGCAGTGCAAATCTTTACACTGCACCTAAAGAAATAAAGTCCTGTTTGTTGTTATCACAATTATTAAATCAAAATTCTAGAAGTTTTCCTGTATTCACTGACTTCAGGCAAGTCATTGTGGACAACTCTTAGCCTGTTCTGCAAGGGTTTCAAGTGCTTAATAATTAACAAGGTCTTCAAGTCTTGATCTAGTATCAAAACAGGTGTCAGTGGATATATCTACAGTAGAAAAAATGTGGCTCAATAACAGCTGTCTATAAAGTGAAACAGTTGATGCAGAAGATCTAATATCCACACCATGCACGTTTTTGGAGGGTTTATCTTAGACTAGCTCCAGTTTGGAGCCATGGACTGAATGCATCTGCAATGTGTCTTCTGGTTTAGTTTCATCTGAATGGATTGAAGCTCATGTGCTCTGGGATTGCTGCACAATGTGAACCAAAGCAACCTACCCTTGAGCTGAACTGAACAGTGAGGGAGCTGGACCAAATGAGCCTTGCAAGAAATCAGTCTTCTTGCAAGCTTAGTGCAGAAATATATCTGACCCTACTTTCTATAGCAAGAGAAGGCATCTGCATGGCTCATATTGGCTAACGTTTAATCAGCCTAGTTTTCTGACAGGTGAATGAAAAGAGCCAAACATTTTGATACTTACTGGATTTAAGGACTGTGAGGATTTTGGCCTCATAGTAATCAAACACATTCTTCTGTGTACTGTTGAGGACCTCCACCTCGTACACTGCAACAAACAACTGTGTGAGGCCAGATGGAAACATGAAATTGCATCCAAACCCAGAAAAATAGGTATGCTTTTACAAGATTCCTGTACAGAGGCCGGTGTACCATCTTTTCGCGATTCATGGCGGTATGAAAGCCAACAAGATAGTAATCCTGTATAACTAATATGCTTTTAGAAAGTCAGGTATTAATCAACAGCCTCCAGATTTGTATTCCTTTTGTGCATTTTTTTAAAAAGAACCTCCTATATGATTAGTTTTTCACTTTTTTCCCTGTCCTTCTGTTAACATCTAACTTACCAAAGCTGCTGAACGAGTTTTCCTTCAGCAGTTCTTCCAACTTTCCATCCAAAGAAGAGGCCAGAAAGGCAAATTAACAAAGGAGAAAATATTTGTCTGGCTCTGCAGAAGGAACTGCTGAGCAGTTCCAGTTTTGCCATGCAAAGCCTTTATCTCCAACCTGTAACATTAGGGATGTAGGGGATGGTAGTGCTCACACCATGGGTCTTTACTAAACCATGTAACGTAATATTGTCCACACTTTCTTCCCCCAGCATCCCACCACCTCTTTCAGAGACCTTTACTTTTCCCTTTCACCCCCCTGATGACTGTGATAGCACACGGCTTCATTTCACCACCTCAGCCTCTAGGCCAGATACAGAAACCCTACTCATTTCAGGAGAGGTCTGGGCATATAAACCTACAAATTTATCCTTATTAAAAAGAACTATGTTTAAACTAAATCGACAGTTCATTCATGTCATACCATAATCCGCAGTAGGCTGGTAGCAGGCAAAATGAAAGCGTGTGATTTGTGTTACAGCTTTACTGAAAGTTGATTTTTGTCTTGGGCAGGGACCTAGAGAGAAGAAAATAAGTGACACATCTATCTCTGTAGGCATTGATATTTAGATAGATATAGTTTACATATGCTTATTCACTCAACATTATAACAGAGAATAAAATAAATGGCAGAACAACATTCTTAGAGGTGTGGTGGAGGTCTTTTATATACATATGCACATGTATATATACATCGCATTCAACTATCAAATAAATCCTGGATATCTTAAAAAAAACTTATTACAAAAAATTGTAATGCTCCTTTCTGGGCTTAAAAATGCTCATGTTAACACTTTACAGAAGTAACTCTCTTCTTTTAGACTGGTCTGTTTAGTCATTCCTTACCTTCTGCACACTGGCAAACACTGGTGTGGCACACCTTTGAAAGCATGGCGCTGTGCTTGGGAGCACTGTAGAATACAGTGCACTTTCTGTCTGTGAAGAAGAAACAAAACGGCTTGTCTCAGAGAGCTTGGGAGGAAAAGCATCTGCAAGTAGGAACTACATTTGCAGCCCAACTTTTCCCTGGCCCAGAGAAATCAGAGCACTAAGGTGTCAGATGCACATCAGCAGTCCACAAAAACCTATAGCCTGGACACCTGGAGTACAGGGATCACCTTGCCTTTCAGCTGGGCAACAACCTGGGTTGTTGCTTCTGGTTTCGGGGTTTTTTTTATTTTTTTTTTTTGTTTGGGTGGGTTTTTTAAAAGTTGTAGTCTTCTCTTTTTCTTCCCCCCCCTTTTTTTTTTTTGTTTCCTCTGAAAAGCATCCATCTTGAAAGCATCTTTAGACCATAGAGCTACAGTGAGCACTGCACTGTTTCCGGAGAAGGAGATAGGATGACCAACAGTCAGTGGTTTAAACCTAGTGTAAACTTGTCATGGGTCCCTCAGCTTCAGGCAAAGTAGAGATTTGACCTAATTTTCAAATATTGTTTACATTACTCTGGCAAATGGAGATGGTTTGCATTTAACCTTCTCTGAATGGGAAATGAGGCTGGTTGCCCCAGCAAGCACAGTACATAAGGCAAATCTCTAAGGTTGCCTATCTTAGCTGCACGGAAAGACAACCTAACCAAAAAGATAATGTGAGTGGAACATGCTCAAAAGCACCATGAGAAACAGGAACTCAGGAAACCTGATTTAAAAATCCACAAGTTTAACAGTTTGTATTTTCAGTCCATTTGCAGTAAAGGACCCTTCCGTGAGGATCTCTATTTAGATGGTCTTAAATCATGGTAGTAGAAGATAGTATTTGAGGCAGGTTATTTTAACACTCGACAAAATCACGTGGTTTCACAGACTACATCAAAACCACCTTTCTATAGAGTGGAATTTGTTCTTGGGGATCGCTTTCAATCAGTTACATATCATTTTTCTGTGTCCTTACCAGGGTTGTAAAAATCATAGAGGATGGCACTTGCTGGCTGAACCAAGCCCATGGGATTGATTTGCTTTGCCCCAAATGATACACAATCTGGCTCCGGTCCACTTGGGAGCTGGAGAAAAAAGGAACAAGAATCATGATGAGTGAACTGCCTCTTTCTCCCCCATCAGTTCCTTATTCAGTTGTGCCTATACTAGCTGTTGAATGCTTGTTTCCAGTGGCATAGGTGAGTTAATCCTGATAGCTGTAGCCTCAGCCTGAAGAAGGCATTTCCTTCCATGATTTTATTGGGAGATTTTGTGGATGAGCTAAGCCTGGTAATGGTAGTTTTGTGAGATGTGTGCAGGTCTTCTCTGCCTGAAACTGTCTGATCTGGACTCACATCGTCACTACTTTGGGGTTTGCTTTTTGGCTTTTGCCTAAAGCCGCCTTGTTCACAGCCTATGCTGTACTGATGGCCACCAAAGTATATACACTTTCCTTAGTAAAAAGCTAAGGTCAGGGACAGCTTTTGACTGATGTTAAATATACAAATTATCTAGGACAGTCATAACAGCAATAAAATTTACATATTTTCATTTGTCTATCATCTTACATTAAAAAAAAATCATTGCCCTGTGTGTGCTTTCTACAGGGACCCCCCTGCTTTGGCTGTGGAGGTGAAGCAACTCAAGTGGGTGTGGGGTGGAGTCATTATCCAAAATATGGGGAAATGTTTTTGATGTTTACATTTTTTTGCCTCTATATGGATCTTGTTCCAGAAATACTGAACTTCACATGCAAGGTGTCCATGTGGAATTTTCAGGACATCCAGTTAACACTGTTACTTGGATGAAAAGCATCTCTTCTGGCTAGAGAGGATTTCTTTTTTGGGGGGTGGGGGTGTCAAAGCCCAAATCTCAGACATGGACTACATTTCCTGGAATGCAGAAAGGCAGAGGATCAAGGTGCATGCTTCCCTTCTTCCCCTCTTCTGTCCTCTTTCAACTGAGCTGTATGATAATAATATATGACAAAAACCACAGGAAGGTAATACCAATAATGATTAGGTTTAAAATGAAGTCTGTGTATGCTACCTGAAAAGGCAGAGATCAGAAAATCATTGGGTTTGCTTACCTCACCGAAATAGAGCAAAACCTTTCCTTCCTTGTACTCATAGTGCTGAATGTACTGGTCTGAAGACATCACCAACTGCGGGAAAACAAACAAACAAAAAAATCAGAACAAAACCCTAGCACAACAGGAACACCTGTGCTACCAACCTCTGTATTCTGGTTTGCTTTGTTCAGCTGTTTGCTTTATTCTGCCCTCCTTCCTCCACCCTAAAGGAGACAGTCCCTGTGAGCATGAACCTGGGCAGACCTCCCCCAGCCAGGCAGGCTCCAGAACCCAAAACAGTGTAACTACCTTTCCAGACAAATTTTCTATGGAAAAGGCTATGAATGATTGCACAGAAAAGTGTGTTTCTAACCTGTTCGAGATCCTTTGTGTCAGGCTCCAAGCCACTCAGCAGAGACAGCTCAACCAGGGACATCTTGGGTGCATTGGGACCTGTGGACCTTTATAAGGGAGACCGTCAGCAGTGAACACCTGCACTGAGCAGCCAGCTTGCTTTGAAGAGTTTGGCATTTCAGGCTTGCTAACAGCAAAACAAATCATTCCGCTCCATTTAACTTCCCTAAGTGGATTTTAATTTGAAAATTAGCTGTCTATCTCATTAAGAGTCATGAGGCAAAATTAATCATCTAAACTAGTCAAATGGTCATCCAGAACCCCAGAGTCTTGCCTGAGCTTGTCATCTAGGCTTTCTTTATAGCTGTTAGGCAGAAACAATCTCCTTCAAAGGACTGTTCATCCCACCACAAAAGCACTGTTGAAGGTAGGGAAGGTAAACAGCACCGACAAAGTGTCTGTTCTCTATTACCTAGAGAGCAGAGATAGGAAATGAGTCTATCCAAATTCTTCATGGAAAAAGTCAAATTTACATCACCTTTGCTGTCCAAGGCAAAAATCCTCATAGCTCTAACTATCCATTAGGTATATATATTGGACTTCCAACCTTTTCTATTTCTACCTTCTCACAAATCAGGTCGTTGTGTCTGCTGGAAAATGAAGTTGTTCTCACTCACGTAGGGTGCCTTGCCTAAGATATTCTACATACACTTAGTGGTACTTCAGAAACTTTTATTTTGGCAGCCTCCTTTCCCCATAAGGGACGTACCATGGTGCACGGAAGAAGAATGGTGATGTAGTCAATGCCTTCAGTTTTTCTCTCGTGTCTTAACTACAACAAAGGGAGCTCCACATTGTTGTTTAAACCTCACCCTAACACTTAACAATGTCCTGCAGAGGAGTGGATCTGGTAGTTGATAAATGTTATGTAGCAATTAATGGGGAAAAAGATGCTTTAGTCAACACACAATTCACTGAATACATGTTTAACTAGGGAGAGCAAAACCTGGGAATTAGGGTAACTCCAGTCCTCCACTGCCATTGTTTGTGCTGCTGTCTGGGAGGGGGGATGCAAATCACTGCTGCTGAGGCCCTTGTCAAAAGTCAGTGGAAAAGCTAAGTTATACTGGGGAGCAACACCTGCTTTTGCCACCCTGCACCTCTCTAGAAGGGGAACTCAGGACAGCCAGCACTTTGTGCTTCTGCGACCCTTGCCAGACTGTGAAAGGGAGCAAAAGCAGATGTTCCAGTGTTATTCTGCATGGGAAAACTTCTTTTCTCACTAGCTCTGCCCTTGCCTACTTGATTGCCACAACAGGGTATCCCTTCTGCCTCCTCTCCTCCCCCAAATAGTAGCAGAGATTTTTTCTTTTTTAGGAGGCCAGAGCGGGACAACAAAGGAAGTAACAGCGTATCTCCAGAAAAAAATGAAACTCTGTAAAAGTGTTATTACTGTATTCCAGTTGTATCTACTTTATTTAATAAAATACTTCTTTCAAATTATTAGCCAGCCAGGCGATTTAGAGTTTCCTCAGAGTCTGATAGGGCAGAATCTGCAATGGACATTTGAGGTCTATATAAACTGTCTAAACCTAATACATTGGGTGGAAAGCTTTTCTCCTGCCATGGGAGAGAGGGTGCAGACTCACCATGTATGCATACCCACAGGACATCACCAGGCTGGATGACAAGCTTGCGGATATGAAAAGGACAACCAAGAAGAATTACAAACAAAAATGAATGCATTTTCTAATGAAGAGCCGATCTTGCTGACCTACCTGGCACAGACTTTGTACTGCAGCAATTCTGCTTTACTGGGAGAGATATCCCTTTTCCTTCTGCTGTGAATATCAAACCACTCTATTCCAGGCAGTCGCTGAAACGTGTTGCTTTCTGCAGCAATTAAATCCCCATAATCTTCGATTTCATCAGAGTATGCATCTTCTGGAGGTGACAGACACGATCATCCGTGCACAAATTTGACTGAGAACCTGGTAATTTGGCTCCTTTTTGCATAATGATAAATACCAGTGGGCAGTCATGCCATCTCTGTGGGTTTTATAGAAGTTTGCTGTACACCATCTCAGTATTTCTAATTTGTTCAGAATTAAAGTTTTAGGGTAATTATAGTAAGAATAGCCAATGGATCAAGCTAAGAATGGAGTTTAGGCTATGCATAAATATGTAAAGGACAATCCCTGCCTCCTAAAGCTAGCTACAGAAAAAAAAAATGCAGACATAGGCAGAGAGGATGACGAACACATGCTTCAGGGGATGGAAAACAGAGTCTTGCTCATATGAAAAACCTATGACACATCTGCCCGAAATAATTTTTAAGGCCACATGGTAGGTTCCTTATCAGCCAGGGAACTGAGCTGGGCTTTCCCCTCATGGCAGCCAGGAATATGGCGAAGGGAGTTTACCTCCCTCTCCTCCCAATAGCAAAGAAGAGTTACTAATAGTACCTGTGTATCTGTTAGGCACCCGCAGCGCCTACGGTCACTCAGATTGTTGTTAAACTATTTTAAAATATTAATAATCTGAATGAAACAGTAGCTAAGCAGAGTTCAGAGGCCTCTCTCTTTCCTTGTTTCATTCATTTATTCCTACTTTCCAAGGCTGGAAAGCCACTAAGTATTACTAGCAACTGTCCAAATGTGTCACCTTTGAGACCCAACCATTTCCCTTTTCACTCACCCGAGTACTGAATGTTCCCTTCCATTTCCACCGTCAAAATCAAATCATTACATGTGGTGTTCTTCAGCTCAGAAGACCAGTACACTTTTAATACCTAAGATGAACACACAAACAGCAAAGCACTAAAAATATCATTGGAATGACAAGGTATATACTCATCCAGGACTTCAGCAAATGTTGATGGGACATGGGAGTCTGGAGAGAAACACCGGTCCCCCAGAGGCACAGACTAGTTGCAGAGGAATGCAGCAGGTATAAGCAGGAGAGGCTCCAAGTGCAAATCACAAATGGTGTGAGACCTTTGAGGTAACTCTCCCCAACCACAAAGGGGTCTTTCAAACTCCAGCCACCTCTATCAACATTGACATTTCATGGACTTAAAGTTAAAAACAGGAAAAATCAGCTGCCCGTTAGGGCAGTCTGCAAGCCCTGAATTTAAAAATTTGGAGGTAGGAACAGAAAGGGTGAATCCATGGGAAGTAATTTCTCACTCTGTTTTCTAAAAGGAATTAAAAGGAATCCAGCTGGACTCTGAATTCCTGGTTTACAACTTACACTCATTGTCCCAGTTCCTCTGCCACGTACAGACACTTCAAGATTTCTCCCAAGTTCAAACTTCAACCAATGAAGGAAAAAAAAAAATAAAGAGAGATTTAGCCTGTGCTCAGAGTTTGATCTATCGTTTTTCAGAACTGGGGTAGGGAAAACCTTTATCTATGGAAAGAGTTATGAGACCTCAAATCTCATAAGATTTTTAATGTGTTGGGCTGGTTCATCTTAGTCTGCTGTTCTGGGGCCCAGGAGACATATTTTCCCAACTTCACTTTTTCCTCTGTAGCCTGGATTTGACATTTTCACAGGTCCCAACACACTGAATATCAGAATATTCCCCTTTTTCCTCATTCCCTAGCAAGACTTGGGCTCCTGGCTGCTCTTCACTACTGGGGGAGATTTGTGTCACCAAAGTCTTTGAAGAGGCAGGAAAGGGCCTCTAAAATGTGCTGCTAAGCATCTGTTGATTTTTTTTTTCTTTAAAATGTTCTGTTGTTTTACAGATTAAACTATTAAAAAAATATTATAAACCAGCTTCATCATGATTGCTTAACAGGAGAAAACCTAGGCCAGGTGATCCAATGGTTCTCCTGTTTGAGGAAAAAAAGGCTTGAAATGATGGATGGTTGTGTACCTCTAGCTGCTTCTGAACTGCGTCATCAGTATCGGTTAGAGTAATGCTGTAGTCCTTTTGTCTTCCAGGTGTTCCCAGTCGTACAGTCAGGTCAGTGGAAGCAGTGTTCAATGTCTGTATGCTGTATGCTGACAGAGCTTCTAGGGCCACCACTGTGTCCTAGGTGAGAAGGAAATGCAAAACCCTATCAATCATGCCAAGTTGTTTCAACAATATGTAAGATGTCATGACCTGAAGCTATTCTTCAGTTTTGTGGTTTTTGATGTTTTGAAGTTCTCCTGTGTCTGTCTGTTCTTATCTGCACAGACTATTCATTTCATTTCCATCTTCTTTTAGCATTAATATCCTAAAACCACTGGAGTTCTGACCTTTTATTATCATAAATTTTCATAAAGACAAAGAAACTTTGTTGGCTTATAACTATTTTATTTTGGCCCATTTTTTATTAATGAGCCAAAATCTTTAGTGCTTCACACACCAAAGAAGTTCAGGATTAGTTGTTACGATGCTTTCAGATTTAAATTAAAGTCTTTATGGGGCTTCTGTTTATTTCCCTCCCGCAAAACTCCACCTGGGCTGGTGGTCAGGCACCTGTGTAGAGCAGTATCCTCCACCATAGTTCCTTTTTTCCGTCAGCCACGTAGCAATAGGCCTTGCATACTCTATATCTTTCAGGAGCAATGTTTGAAGCAATGCATAGGCAGTGGTTTCCACTGAGAGTGCGTTTTTGCCATTTCCCCAGTAGCGCTGCTTCTTTGCTGCAAGAATAACTCAGTGTTGAATCCCATTGGTATAAACGTTTGCCAAAAATGACTATTGATCTACACAGTAGATATTTCATGTCATAACACTGAGGAACCACAAGGCACAGATGCTGTCATGAGAGCAACAAATCAGTTGGGAATCAAAGATAATGGAAAAGGAAAACCACAGTTTTCAATTTTGACTTGTCCAACCATCACAGTCTAATGATTCCATTGACCAGTAATGTCCATCTGATGGAGGGGTAGCATTGTGTCTGGTGGTCCCCAAGAGATAATAGTACTAATTATGCCCATAAATCCAGCCTTGATTAAGGAGAGGCATGTTCCGCATGATTAAACTCTGGCTATTAAAACATAATGTATTTGCCAAACAAATTGGGGAAAATTAATAGCATGGCAATGCAGCCACAGAAACAACTGACTCAACATTGACCACAGCCACACATTGGGGGTGGGGGGGGAAGGGGCGTGGAGAAGAGCTGACAAACATCTGGAGCTGGAACAAAGTACTCAGAACTGCCAGGGGGCTTTGAAAATGGGTGGGCTGGAAAAGACTTCTCTCTCGATTACAATTCCAGTCTGGACTGCTCTCGTATGTAACAGTTCATTCTTATTTACCCACCAGAAGTATCTTCTTTCTCAGCTGGCTTGGACTTTTTTAAAATGCATTTTATGGGTGTGGAAACTTTGGTAGGCATCATGGAAGCAGAAAAGGTAAGTGGCTATTTACCATGGGTTTGTTCCAATTCCAGAATCAGATAAGATCACAATACAAACTCCACAATGTTAACTTGTTACTTTATAGTGATGTTAATTATACAAATTAAATACTACAATGTCAACAATGAAATCTTTAATTATGTAATTTAAATAATATTTAATTATGTAATTTAAATAATTAAATATATTACTCATATACATGCATGCTTCTATAAAATTAAACGGTCTTCACTTACTTGAATTTGTTGTGTTCATATAAGAGTGCTTAAAGTGCTTTAATTACGAAAAGTGCTTTCTAACTGTATTTTTAAGAATGGTTACCAGTACCTGCATCAAAAACAGAACAGCCTCTTAATTTTTCTTTTGCAAACTGGGCTTCTTCACCATTAGACTGCACAAGTGTTAGAGCATAAGCAGTGATGGCTGTAGAATAGCAGTTAGAATTCCTTGAAAGTTGATTTCTCATGTAAGCCACGGCTCCTCTAATCACTTGTACCTGTGAAAAAAAGAACAGATCCATTTGAAAAGGTCATTCAGGCCTACCATTACTGCTGGTGAGAGGGCTAGGAAGTTAGAATACTTCACTGTAGTAATTTTTGAGACAATTTTAATATTTTTTTGCGTAGTAATTAAAGTCATTGATGATGGACCGTGTAGCTTGAAACACCTTGTTGTACATTAGGCCATGGCATCTTTTCCTATCCACCACAGATGTAAACAGACTTCTACCTCCTCGTTTGCAGTACTTTAAGATAGAAGGGTAGACATGCTGTTGTGCAATTGCCTTCAGACTTAAAGATAAACAGTCAGGCTTCCTACCACGTCAGGTGACTTGTAGACCTGTAGAGTCTGTTGCAATGCTATAGTTACAAATGCTGTCAAAGCCAAATCCTCTTCTGCTGACCCAATGCCACCCTGAAAGATGAAACATGAAATGGAGAAGCTAAATGTACATTATAGGCTTATGATTAAATTTAGCAAATCACTTTTCATGAAGTCGAGGACCTTCTTGTCAAACCATCCGACCACAGACCATGTAGTTTTACCCTTTAATTTTGCTCAATAACTTGTGTCTGCCTAAAGTATATCTTCTACAGTGGCGGGCAGTTTGCATTAAACAATATTAAAAGATTAGGAACTCACTATGTCCTTCAGCTGGTAGTAAAATATTTATTTATTTATTTATTTATAGTTTAAAATCTGGAGTTCTCACTGGAATATTCATAGCTTCAATTTCCAAGCACTAGTGGGTTGTTTTTTTCCATTTCTCTGCTACTCCCTGTAGACTAAAGAGCCTTTGAACACACAGAACTTTTCTCCTGTAAAGAGATTTATACACCATTAGTAAATCATTTATTATTCCTGTTCTTGATAAACTAAACACAGTGACCTGATTAGCTTTTTCCCTGAGGATCTGCGTTTTCATTCCTATTCTTCTTTGTGATTCTTTTGCTCATGCTCTCCTTTGACAACAACCTTAGGATCTTCAACAACTTTCAACAGCCTTTGACAATAACCTTTTCCTTCACTCAACACTAAATGTTTATCCTTAGGAGAAGGATAGGTTGTTTGCCTGAAAAGAATTAATTCTCTGTACAGAATTATTATGCACAGCTCCTGAAATGTAAAATAGAAGATAAGTATCTCAGCATGAATACAGGTTGAAAAGACTTTGGCCAGTTCTTGAGCTGTGTTACATAGAATCATAGAATTGTAGATTCATAGAATTGTTTAGGTTGGAAAAGAACTTTAAGATCATCAAGTCCAACCATTAACCTAACCCTGCCTTCCCACCACTAAACCATGGCCCTAAGCACCTCATCTACCTGTCTTTTAAATACCACCAGGGATGAGGACTCGACCACTTCCCTGGGCATCCCATTCCAGTGCCTGACAACCCTTTCGGTGAAGAAATTTTTCCTGATGTCTAACCTAAACCTGCCCTGGCACAACTTCAGACCATTGCCCCTCATCCTATCATCTGTTACCAGGGAGAAGAGGCTGACCCCCACCGCTCTACAGCCTCCTTTCAGGTAGCTGTAGAGGGTGATAAGGTCTCCCCTCAGCCTCCTCTTCTCCAGACTAAACATCAAGTGTGGAACTGGCTTTGAGGGTGAAATCCTTACTAGTGACTTGATAAAGATCATTAATAAAATTAATATGTTATTTTTTGCATAAGATCACTACAAAGGTATCTGCATTTTCAATGAATTTTGGAAGAGGCAAATTATTTTCATATCCTATATGCATAGACAGTGTAACAACTTTGTGTTTCTGGACACTGAAGGGTCTGTATAGACTAACACGTGCAATTGGAAATTCTGATTAGGTATTAAGATATTTTTTCCCACCATGGGAATGGTTAAATACTGAAACAGATTACCCAGACAGACTATGGGATCCCCACCCTTGGAGGTACTCAAGACTCAGCTGGACATGGCCCTATGCAATCTAATCTAACTAGATGTGTTCTGAGCAGGGGTTGGACTAGATGACCTCTGGAGGTCCCTTAAAAACTAAATTGCGATTCTATGCTTCTATTGCCTTTGGCAATAAAAGGCATACATTTTTACGAAGCACAAAGTTCTCAGAATTAATTTTCTAAGTGCTCTAGACGCATAGGTCAGCTGCAAAATTATGTAAGACTGGATCAAAAGATAAAGTTGGTGAAGGGCTAGCTATGCATCTCTGACATAACTTACCTTTTAACAAATTCATTTTACATTACAGATTTTGTACTTCTTATATTTACAGATTTCTTTTTAGATACATTTCTTGTTACTCAACAACTCACAATATTCCTTTCAATCCCGGCAACCCTAAATGTGCAACAGATTCTTCCAAATACAGGTGACCTACCTGCATAGTCCTGTCCAATACTGGGTGATGGTCGTGGAAGGAATTATCTGCCTGCTGTTGATTAATCAAGTAGGAAATCGAGCTGCGTATGTGACTGTCTTGGATACTAATGTATTCTCTGCACCTTGTGAGTACTTTAACAATGAATGCAGTTAACCTGAACAAAAGAAAAAGTCCCAAACTTGTGCTGACATACATTCATAGGCCAGTATACTAACAGGAAAAGAAACATACTAATTTTGTACATAGACTCATATTCGATACAGTGCACTCACTGGAACTGAGTGAGTTATTGTTCAACATCTATGTGAACTCTGTTTCTACTCTGTGGCAAATGCAAAATGATCGGTGGCTCAGTATATCAAGGACTGAACATGGTCAGAGACTTACATGGCTGACTATCCATGACAAAAGTATATAGGCAACACCATGCCCACCAGAATTTGAAAATCCATCCCCCCTGAAAAACTTCTGATACATCAAATGATAATAGAGGTATTTAGAAAAAAAAAACCAACCCCAAAACTGAAAAATACACTTACCATACACTACTGGGGATTACTCTAAATGCTCCATAGGAGCCATCTGCCTTCTGAAACTCAAGCAGTCTAGCATAACCTGCGTGAACAGGACAGCACATAACTGTTCAGAGAATACACATATTTCTTGGGCATTTTCATACATCACTTGTATTAACATGGACATGATCAGTATTGACTAGTGGAAGAGTACATGGAGGTGTTCACTGGTACATTAAGGAGGAAATGACTGGGTCAGCAGGCCTGTGACACAGAAAAGGCACCAGTTTAGAAGGTGCTCTGTCTTGTTTGACTTAATTTTGCCATGATAATAACCTGAAAACTGCAGATATCTATAGCTACAAAACATTTCGCCAGGTCCTGCACTTCAGTCACAACAACCCTATGCAATGGGTCTGGAGAACCGCTCAGTGGAAAAGTGCCTGGGGTGCTGATTGACAGCTGACTGAATATGAGCCAGCAGTGTGCCCAGCTGGCCAAGAAGGCCAATGGCATCCTGGCTTGTGTCAGGAATAGTGTGGCCAGCAGGACCAGGGAAGTGATAGTGCCCCTGTACTCAGCATTGGTGAGGCCACACCTCAAATACTGTATTCAGTTTGGGGCCCCTCACTACAGGAAGGATGTTGCATTGCTGGAACATGTCCAGAGGAGAGCAACAAAGCTGATGAGGGGTCTGGAGCACAAGTCTGATGTGAAGAGGCTGAAGGAACTAGGGTTGTTTATCCTGGAGAAGAGGAGGCTGAGGGGAGACCTGATCGCCCTCTACAACTGCCTGAAAGGAGGGTGTAGCGAGGTGGGGGTTGGTCTCTTCTCCCAAGTAACAATTGATAGGATGAGAGGAAATGGCCTCAAGTTGCACCGGGGAGGTTTCATTAGCATGTTTTTAATCTCTATTTATCTAGCCCTTATTTTTCACTGATGAAATGTCTGTCACATGTTGTCTGAAGATCATGAAGACAGGTGCATTATATTGCTTTATGCCATGCGCACATCGCTACAGCTAGAAAGATCAGCTGTACCTACTACAATACTGATATCACTTGGGCTCTTATGTTAGTGTCCGTGAGCTGGAACACCTCTGCTTCCACATGCTGTGGTCCTGGCTTTGCTGTACATTAAACACCAGCTTTGGACCACGTCTTGGAGTGGGCTCTTCAAGAAGCAGCCTTACAGACGTCCTCTCCCTAAGGCACCTCCCTCCCTGGGTTGGTCTAAGGCTCTTGGAGTCATTCTGGCTCATGTAATGAATACAGAAATGTGGAAGAGAAGGTGTTGATATGATGATCACCATTGGCAGTTTCCTTAGTGATACTCCTCTTGCTGACTACAGACATCTCCAGCAGAGATGCCTACATCTCAGCTGGCCATCCTAAGTGCTGTCTATGATCGGTGGGGAGAAAAAAGCATTCTTAGGACATGATTCATCTTGATCTATTTTGCACATCTACAGTAGGAGGAAATGATCAACTGGCCTTTGCTGTCCATTTACTCTGACAAGAGTTGGCATTGATCAGCTCAGATTTTACTTTCTGCTTCTAAATTAGGCAAGGGAGAGGGTGGACTGTGAATATCAGTACTGTACAATGTCAGACGTAGGCAATTAGTCACCTAAATCCTCCTCACCAGTTCTGTTTCTCATGCCTGTCTGCAGATTGTCAGAGGCATTTCTGCATGGCTATGTTAAGATAACGCTCACTCCTTTGGCAAGTAGCAATGCTTAGCGTGCAATGCAAAAGGATAACAAAGACCGTCTCTTCGTTTGTTGGTCTCTGGGTTTTTTTTTCTGCATACCTTTTTCAATCATATTAATGGCCTCCTCCTTCTGTTCAAGATTGAAGTTCACCCACTGCTCACTGGCATCCAAGTACTCAATAGCGTAGACCGCAGGGGCCATTTTCACCATTGTTTGCTCTGCACAGCCTGTGGGCACTTTAATAAGTTTCTCGACTCCAGTGAGACTAAGACAATTTTCAACAGACTCATCCATCATATTCCCTGTTGTAAAAAACACAAGCCACAGTACATACCGTATTTAAAGCTGACTGGTGTAACATGAAGAAAGGTGATACTAACTATAGGTTGACACCCCAGCATGGCCTGATACTTCTCTTTACTAAACACTGTTTTCAGCTAGTTAAGACTTTGTAAAGCTGGAGAAGAACCAGGATGAGATGCCAGGCCCTGGGAAAGCTGAGGAAAGGAGGCTGGGGCAGTGAAGGAGCATGGAGGAGAAAGAGTCCTGAGGCTACTGGAGGCAGGGAAGCAAGGCAAGGGGGAAAGACTGGTGTTTCAGGTTTGGGCTGGAAAAGTCTTGTCAAACCAGTCCTGATCCTCCCACAGAGGGAAAAAAGACCATGTCTTAATCATGCCAAATATTTTGTGCAGAGGGTTGGTTTTTTTTTTTTTTCCCTTCTCTGCAATTTTCTCATTTGATGAATTTGTACATCCCTGTGCTTTAGAACAGGGATTTGAAATCAAAGCCAATAGCCTTTGGGTCAAGAATGCATTATTTTACATTTTCTGGGAAAAAAAATGCTTTTATCATAAGTAAGAGTACTTGCTAGTAGATATTTTTAAAATACATATGCATGAGTGTGTATATATATATATATGTATGTGATTATTTGATTAAATATGGTTGTAAATATCTTCTCTTTAGAAAAACAGAACTTTCTAGAACTCATGCATCAGAGTTTGGCATACTTATTTCTCAAGGCTAAAGCAGATTTCTACAGACCTACTTGCAGTGTGAGGTGATTAGAGAAGGTGAACTCTTATATTCTCCTCTGCCCTTCCCATAAAGTTAGCCTGGGCACAGTGAGGAAGGATGGACCGCATAAAGCTATTATATCCAAAACAAGTGAGAATGAGTAATTAGAAAGAGAAAAGGTACTGGATCAGCCTTGGGGCTGTTTTATTTTATCACCTGGGCATGTAGCAAAGACCATTTGAGTTACAGCAGAAAAATTAGGAGGGAATGGAGACTTGATGTTCAGGAATGAGCAGCACAAAGGGGGATATTTCTTGTAACCTATAGGGAAGTTGTTGACAAAAAATGACATTTACCTTTCAGGCTAACAAGCACATGACTGTCAGAACCCGGCACCATATCAGGTGGTTTGTTCAGCTCCAGTGTATGGGACCTTACTGTAAATAAAGAGTAAATAGGGATTTACATCCGGAGTCGTTAAACATAAAAATATACAGCATAATTTTAGAGCATGCTTTTCATTAAACATCTCACAGCTGATGGCAGATACGACAGAAATGTTATCAGAAATGTTAAATGGAAATTTATGAAAATAAATATCTTTCTTAAATAGATTTAATTTTCAATCATTAGCAATAATTTTTGGCTTGAAATGAGGCTTGTTTTTAATTCCTTTTCAGACCCATTAGTAAATTAAATAGTTACTTACTTAATATTTAAAAAACTCTACCTTGAAACATGGAAGTAATACAAATCAATTCTAAATGTTTAGAATTAAAAGATTTTTGTTTCCTGAGTATTTTGCTATGTTTTGGATGAAGAGATTTGTGACAAGTTCTGGTCAAGCAAAGCCATGTTTGTACATTAAGAAGTAATTCACTGCACCCATCAGGTATTCACACCAGATATTCTTTTGTGTAACTTACAGTCACTGCTAATGCAAACAGTCTTTTCTTCTCTCTGTAAAATACCTTCAGCCTGTACAATTGAGGAAAGAAAAGTCAAAACTTTTGCAAGCACTCACACCTGAAATTAAGCTGCATGAAAGCCGCGATCTCCGCCCTTGCACTAGACCAGCAGGTGGCAGATATAAGTTATTTTGGAGTGACATTTCTCTCCGGGTAAAACTGAAGCTTTAAATCAGAATTCCAGTGTCTCAAATTAAATGCTTATAAACTCTACTGACTTTTTTTGTTATGATTGACATATTTCCCTGGATGAAATTCCTTTAACCAAAACTAACCCAGAAAAATTAAACTTCAAAGTTTATTCTCAGACTTGTGAGCCACGCAAGTCAAGTTCACAGGTGGACTCTTATAAACCTCTTGTGTATGAAATCCACCAAGTTCTGAGTTCATCTTGTTGGTAAAACTTAAAACTTTTTTCCCTTTTGATTTCCACACGTCCCTCTTCATACAGTTTCTATTTTAATAAAGCTATTTTTACAGATACTTTTAGTGTTTTGGTGTAGCACTGAACTCTGAGGCTGTGTCTATCTCTAGAAAAGTTATGGCCTGTAGCAACAGCAGGTTCCTGGCATCCCCATGCCTTATCTTTACTTACATGGCTATTCCCTGACAGTAATGGTGCAAGGATTCATATTTTGCACTTTTTCTGTGGATTGAACATAAGCCTCAGTGGGCTACTTGGGTGCTGTAATAAGCCTGTGCCAGACAGCATTGACTCTTGAAAAGTCACCTTTTCTAAAAGGCTCCTCCTTTTCATCATTTTGAAAGAGAACTAAGGTATTAAATAATCAATACAATATCTTTGTATGCCTGTATGTGTTTTACTTATGCAATTGTTAAGATTGAAGATCCATTAACTAGAAGGAATAAAATAGGGTTTAACTTTATGACTAGCAGAGAGTCATTCCTTCTCAAAATGTTGCTAGATGGACATCTTCAATCTTGGCTTCATAAGGAAAAAATAATTTTTATAAATGTTGATGAAGCAGGTAGAAATTCAAGATTATGAGATGGGCACTGACTGCATGAAGGAAGTTGTTGTTATGTCATGGGCAGAAGGATGCCTTTTTGCCATAGAAAACAATTATTTCCATATACACTACACACAGGCCCACCACAGGGTTAAATTTCTTCCCCATGCTATAGCTCAATCCTTGCTGAGAAACAGGCTTCCTGAGGTCGCTTCCATATTTTTTTACGCTTTCACTCCCTCCGCAAGAGTTCCAGGCTTTGTGAATGTTCTATTTGAGGAGAAACACATATTCTTGAAGTGCCTGTCCTCAACTGGTTACACTTACCAAAACTTTGAGGTTCTTCCTAATGCTGTCAGCGTACCCAGAAATGGTATCAAAAACGGTAATAGTAATTGGGATTTCTCCCACAGTCAGAGGGACAACTGAGAAGTAGGCAGGTGTTGCAGAGTTCCCCTTGGCCACCAGTGTCATCTGCGGAGACTTCTCTGCCGCCTCTGTGGTGCAGAGCCCCTTGACTGCATCCATCCTCACTGTAACCTGCAGGGACAAGGCAATGCCTGCGATCAGGCTTAGTGCATCACCACACAGGAAAAATACTCCAGCTCCACCATGTCTAGATAAGAATGGGAAATGAGAAACAGGTATAACAGGAGACTAGCTTTTGCTTAAAAAGGAAATAGCAATGCAGACATTTTGCAAGACAGAAAGCGCTTTTCACTTTGCTCCCCTGAATTCGCTATTCACCATTTATAAAATGGGAAAACTTTTTCACCAAGAAGAGATCAAATGCTGGCACAGCTTGTCCACAGAGTTTGTGGAGTCTCCCTCCTTGGAGATAATCAATATCTGACTGGACAAGGCCCCGAACAACCCTCTCTAACTGGACCTCCTCTGAGCAACATGTTGGACTAGAGACCTCTGGAGGTCCATTCCAACCTAAATTGTTCTATGACCTATGTCTGTTAACATTCATCTACATTGACTAAGGCTGTGAAGGTAAATCAGCCAGTATTTCTTCATAATGATGCATTTGCAATATTGTTTTGGCCAATCCCTGAACTATACGGCAGCAAGTAGTATAGTACATTTTTATACGTCCCAGCTCTACATCATTCAACACAGTTCAGAAGGTGCTGGTCAAGCAGAGCTGGCTGAAAGATAAGAAGAGATGAAAAAAGAGCACCAGCCTGAGGATGATGGAGGCCCTAAGCAGTGACAACTGCAGCCATATGCAGAGCTGGATAGATGTCACAAGCAGACAAAAAGTGGCTTTGCGTTATATGCACAATGAATTTTGTAGCTAATACATTGGACTGTGTGTTCGTAATTTACCTCTCTATCCTGTGTACCTGGTTTATCAGCAGCTGGGTGTTGCCCAGATTGGCAGGCAGCAAAAAAGCTGGTTGCTTCAAAGAAGAGGGAGAAGACATACCCCAAGACAAGAATTTGGCTATGTAATATGGTAAATAAAATCTGTTTTATACAGCAAGTTTGATTAGCAAGTAGAACTGGATCCTGTCCTTGGGGAGACTTTCAAAATGGGATTGCGGTGCCTGGGTGGTAGGAGGGCACTGAAAGGTGGCTGGGTCATTTACATTAAATTATTACATAGCTATACATCTAGCTAGCTAGATGTGTCTAGCACAGCAGTTGGTGGTAATACTACCTGGAGATCGCTGGACAGGTAGTTGTAAACCACTGCTCTTATTTCTAGTTGCTCATGTCGTCTGACGGAGTATGGTAATCTTAGGGATACAAAAAAGTCTTTGAAAACTGCAAAAGTGTGGGGGTCAGCTATGCAAAATCCTGGGAAGAGAAAAAAACAGAGTTGAGAATTACACACACAGCATCAGCTGATATAAAGTTAAATGCCTAATCAAATCTCACTGCCTGGGGTCCCCTGAGGTCAAGAGCAGGAGAGGGAGACAACCATATCCAGAAAACATTTCAACTCAGCTGCGCTGGAGACCTATCTCAGCAGTAGATGATTTGCTCTCTGGAGTCCCTGCCACGTTTTTCAATGGGTAAAATTTGCAGAAGTGTTTATAGCTTTTGTGAGTGAAATGTGGCCCAGCTCTCCTGCAAAGGCCATGTTTAAACACAATGACCTTTCCTTGCTTTCTGTAAATAAATTCCATGTCCATCACTGCACCCCTGGATGAGCCTCCCTTTCCGAAGGGGAGTGGTCAGTACCAGGTGGACCCTTTGGCCCTCCTGCATCGTCCTGGTCAACCCCCAGGAGCTCCTGGAGAGCAGCACCTGGGAACCTGACCTCTGGTGTCCAGCCCTTACTGATCCTCTGCTAGACTCCTGGTGCTCTTCTCTGGCTTTCCAAAGACCACAAACTTTCATGTTTCTCTGGGACGGACAGAACTCACTCCCAGAAATATTAAAATAAAAGCTGTGTTGTTACTGCTACCTTTCTTGTGGCTTCCTGGACGTGTGGAAGCTAAAATGAGATGGTTTATTACTTTGATAGAATAGGAGACAGTTTTGATTGTATAATCCATCCTCCTTCAGAGCTCACTTCATGTTGTTTATTTATATATATATAATCCCTTAAATTCTAGCTGGGCCTTAATATGGCATAAAAGAGAGGAGTAAATGCCATAATCAAAACACTTTGTGTTTTTCAGTGCAGACTGTCTCACTCTGTCAACATAACATTGTATCTCTGTTTTAAAAAATAAACATTCTCTATTCATCCGTACAAATAAACCAAGTAAACTACCCAATACTTATACCTTTTTGGGGAGATATGCTTATTGCCTGAACTTCCCAGGTAGTTATAGAGTCAGGAGCAAAGTTTTTAACACTAAGAAAAACAAAATAAAATCATTAGGAAGGATGTATAAAATGTAAACATCGACATTTGCTGAAGTTTGAGTATTGTAAGGGAAAAAATATTCCCTCAGTTGTGGAGACAAAGTACTTGCAAGTATTCTGAAGTCCTCTGTATCAGGTAACATATAAAGCTGATATTTATATACATTTTGCTGTACAAATCTAGACATATTCACTTAGCCAGGTAATATAGTACCTATGTTTTCCAGGGTTTTTCACTTCTTCAAAATTCCACCACCAGCTCTCAGGAAAATAGCTCCGCAAGTTGACAGAGGTTTCATCAAACATTTCGTCATATTCATCATAGTCTGTAAAACAAGAGTGGGGTTTCTGTTCTGAAGTCTTTGGCTGCTGACCTTGCACTGTCTTGCAGGGATTCAGTTCAGGAGAGAGAAGGCAGCATGAAAAATACTCTGAATGAAGACTTCATCTGGTTTTCATCTTGTGCATTAAAAAAGAAATGCTCAAAAAAGAGAAGCAATGACCAAAGATTATCATTGAACAAAAGGATGATTCTTCTGTCCAAGTTCAGTAACTATATACTGCCAAACAAGAAAAACATTCCCCTTTAGTACCGTGTAGCAAAGATGTTCCTACAGTCCCACTTTTGTGACAGACAGAGCATGAAAAGGGGAGCTCTGAGAAAAACGGTATCAGAAATCACCTATGGTCATATTCAGCACAATTTTTTTTTTTTTTTGGTGACATGAGCTCTTGTGTGATCAGAGATAGACTTTGGGGAGAAGAAAGAAAGACACAAAATTGTTCCTGAGAGGCTGAAGTGGCCTCTGCTCATCGAGTAGTGTTTTGGAGGTACTTGGGAGGAAGTATAACAATAGTACCACTAATGAAATAGTCATGAATGCAAGATCACTCAGACCCCTGAACGGAGAGAACCACCCCCTCCTCTGCTCCACTGTTTGCAGCCTCTGGAGGTGCAGACAGGGGCTGACATCTCCTCCTGGGGCCACTGGTGGCTAAAGCAATTCCTTTTCTTCACCCCAAGAAGTCATCCCATCCCATTCCCACCTTCACAGTGTACAGTCATGAAGATGCAATGGCATGTGGGTGCCGCACTATACCAGGCTCATTGAAATGGTGATGTGAAAACATTCCTCTCAGCCCCACAGTATTAAATGCTACTTAACCCTCCCTTGCCACCATATGAAGGGTATTTTTCCTTAGACAGTTGCATGCCACCATTCTTTACATCGTGCCAAGCCCACTCTGATCCTCTTCTTCGCCTCGTTCCTGAGGGCTGTGGCTTTCTCACAGCAGTCCTGGAAGGCGTTTCTGCACTTGGGGGAGCCAGCCACCTTTGTTAGCCTTTTCGCACAAGGAAGCCTCATGGGATTTAATTTCATCCCATCTTCACAGCATTTTCGTAGATCAGTGTTTTGATATTTGCTGACTGCAATATAATTAAAGACCAGCATTAGTGCAGTGGAAGTAGCAATAAGTGTAAAGGTGTTCATTGCGCCCATTCCTGTCATTCTTAGCAGTTAATGTTAGTTGCTATTGCAATGGTCTACCTTCAGCTGGGGACCTGTTCTCCATCCTAAAAACAGTCCACAAACACAGGAGGAAAGCATAGGCCCTACGGCATCCTAGATACCCTATTCTAAGATCTCTCTTCAAATTCAGCCTGTGAATTAAAAATTCCTCCTTGGCACACTGGAATTAGATAACTTGATAGAAATAGCTATGGCAGTATTCTCATTCTTAAATGAAGAGATTGATTTCAAAGGAAGATCCCAGCTTCAAGCCTTCATGTCTTCTGACAAGGAAATACCAATTTGTGTACACATTTTTATTTTTAAATTTAGACCAAATATTATACTAGCCCTTCTTTTAATAGGAGCATGAAGTACCAAAGCTGGCACAAATTCAAAGCAGAATGTCAAGAAAAAGAATAAGACCTATAAAATAATTTCTGGCCACATAAATAATTTTGAAAAACTTTAAAGCCATGACTGATTCTATAACTTGATATCTAGTAGAAGTACTTAAAATTTGGTATTATAAAATGGTGAATTAGTTTCCATTTGCAGCTGGGTACTCTTTGATTTTGATTTTTCAGTTGTTTTGATAGATGGTGCACCAGGTCACATGGCGTAGTATACTTGTCCTATGTTATGTCACTTAAAGCAAGAACTAGGACTATGAATATCTTATCCTTTACTATCTCATCACTTCTTGCCCCCTAGATCCCATCCAGTTTGCTTTGCCTCACCCTGCCAAGCCTTTCAGGCCACCCAGATGAGCAGACATACCGATTCCTGACATTTTCTTCTGAAAATCCAAATCCCTCTTCTGTCTTCTGCTAACCTGGGAACATTTATAGCCTGGGAAAGCAGAACAGAAGAGCTTGGTCATGTTACTATGACAGTAACAGCCTGATCATTTAGGTCATTCATGGAAGACCCATCTTAGGACTCATCTCATTCACAGAAGAGCCACAGTTTGCCGAGTTACCTTACAGCCCTAGCCAACTGCTGCCTGCCCCAGCTGAGCTGGACACCAAAGGACCAGCAGCCAAGATCCAGGCTTTCTGAGCTGCCAGCACCCAATGGAAGAACAGAAGAAGAAAAATCCACAGGCAAGGGAGATCTTACAACATCATAATAAAATGTTTCTCATTTTTAAGCAGTCATCCTCCCCAGATCTATAGTGGTCTTGCACAGACATCTAAAGTAAAGGGCAGATTGTGCTTACCTTCCCGAATGTTGGATTTAATTGTATCTGATAAAAAGGCCAGACCAACATCAGTAAAAACTTGAGCACTATTTGCACCACCACCAGGAGAACATCCAAGATCATATGAATTCATAGCATTAAATACCTGCCAAATAAAATAGCGTAGAAGGACTATATGCACTTGTAAAAGGTTTTTCTTTTATACATATATAAAAAATTCTTATAGTCTTTGACTCACAGAAGCAAGACAAACTGGTGGCACAAGCTGCATTTGGAAACTGAGATTAAAGCTGAGGGATGTTTTAGCTGGGGAATGCTTTCAAGTAATGCTTTTTTAATTTACAAACTTGTGTGCTGCAGCATGGAAATCCCTGACTTACATATATCATTCAACTTAAATAGATCCTAAATTGCAAAAGCAAAAATGTTTTCAAGCTTAACAAAGCTGTGATTAAGCAATTAATAGCCGTTAATTACATTTTGATGCTCTCATTAGTCCTGAAAAAGTTTGCTTGACTAGTAGATATGATATTTCTTCTTACAGGTATCTTACTTTTTTGGCTGTAAGCTTATTTTTCTTGTTCAGAATAAAAACTGCTTTATCAACCACAGCTAAGGCCACTGTTCCCGCATGGTCCGTTTCAATCAGCAAATTGACGCTGTCTGTTGGTTCATATATCTCTCGTTCCGTTCTCACGTTAATCTAAATAGAAAATATTGAAACAAAAATGTAACATTTGTTAATGAAAAGCAAAGACTCTTTGGGCAGGGAATACCATCAGCTGTGACTGTCAGCAGTTAGAGGCTGGGGATGGTCCTGTTTTGCAGTGTTTCTGCCTGGGATCCTGCCTTCTGGAAGATGTAGATGCAGATACCTCCCACTGGAGGACAACATGGGGTGTTAAAGGATGTGTCTGCACATGATATTGGATGCTGCCTTTCAATGACACTTAGGCACCAATGGGAATTAAAGTATGTGTAAGGGCTTTGCTGAACTAGGCCCTTCAGTATCATTTTCCAGTGGGAACAAAATCACCATAAAATACAGTAAAAGACTAATTAACGTACAAAATGAACAGACTTAAACCATTCTGTAATAGTACTACCTCCTTTCTATCTCACACTTGGATTTTTCAATGTGACTGAGTTCAGATCTGGTGAATACCTGATGTGAACACTTCTGTGGTTTGGGAGGAAGTAGTTGCAGTGATGATGAGATTAATAGGGAATCATTGACAGAAATGCCAACATAATGTTCCTGTGTTTTGTCATCTAATCAGTGAAGAATTGGCTTGTGTGTTAGAGGTGGATAATTTTTCTTGCAAACTTTTCCCCCAATGGACTATTAACTTCTTTTTCCAAAACAAACGTTTTCAGGGATGAAAAAATAATTTAAGATGGCTGACACTTTTCAGCAGTTGTATTTCATGCTACTGGGAAAAATTCTGTTGTCTTATTTTTTCCTTTTTACTTTATGGTACCAAAAAGGAGGAGGAGGAAGGTGAAAGAAAGGCTTAGAGGGACTTCTGTTTTGTCTGCACTTCATATTCTAATGTAAACTACTTTTTTTAAAGTTCTTTTGAAGTGCTACAAAATCTCAGAAAATTACCTTTAACAGGAATCAAAAATCGTGAAAAATGACTTCAAATTCACTTTTTATCCAATAGATTGCTTCATTTCCTTCCATTTGATGAACCTCACTACAGACCCACAAAAAAAAAAAGAGAGTCTGTCCCTCAACAATTCTTTTGGTGTTTCCCTGCAGTTTTCCAATACATAGTCACTTGCAGAGGAGGGTTTATTTGCATGAAACTATATTTTTCATCTCTTTGAGGCACAATCCGTCTTACAGAAGAAGGCTATCTCTGCTGTCACTCCTGGGAGCCTTTCCCAGCTATACCTTTTAGCAAGAACCCTGAAGACTCCCTTTTTCAATAAAAATGAAAATTTACTTCATGTCTTTCACTTTTCAACCCCAGCCCTGCACTCACTCAGCTGATACCCCATGTTTTTTTTATTTTATTTTGGCATTCAATAACAGAAGCTACTTGCTTTGAAAGTTACCTTTCCTTCACAGACATCCATAACGTCCACCCATACAGAATCAGCGATGATCTCTTGACGGTCCTCATTCTTAATGAAGTAGTAAGCTAAAAAGCGAAAGGCAGGCACCATCCTCTCATTGATTTTAAGTCTTATTATTTTGTCTGAGGAGGCGACCCTCCCCAAAATCTCAGCTTGTCCCTTTGCCACAACCTGCAAGGCAGAAACAATCAGAAATCAAGTATTTTGAATACACATTATATTGGGCATTATGTTTCATGGTTTCGTATACATATACAGAATTTTCTGAGTCCGTTTCTGGTTAGAATTTATTCTCTTCTAATGGCACCTAATAGCTTTAATTCCCAACCTGTGTACCAGCAGCCTGGAGAAGACTAGCATGCAGTGCCTCTAGCACAGGAGCATGGTGGCAAACCTCTGTTGCACCGGTCCTGTGGCCCAGGTTTGAACAGAAATTGATCTCCCTCACTCCAGTCTTACAGCTTGAAAAGGGGATCCCAGATGGCAGTCTTATTTTTGTCTTCTACATTAACAGGTCATCACCCCCAGGAGGGTATCAATCAGCTTTATTTAATCTGTCATCAGTATTGAATCTTTCAGATGCTGTTGAGGGTTTGGAGCAGCATATTTCACTCAAAAAGTATTATTTAGTGTAAAGTATCATAGCCTGGCCCTTAACTGATTTCAGCCCATCTTGCACTATTTAATTCAGTTCTTCTCATGTTATGTTAGTTATATTCATGGATTGTCAGAGGAGTGGAAAAGAGACACAGCAGCAGGACTGATCGTGCTCTTCCCTGAACAAAATACACACAGCTTTCTTAAATGCACAATGAATGGGCTTCAGGAAGAAATAGAGCCATCGTCTGAAATAAAGCCTGGTCTAAAATACTCACTGCCTTCATTTAGGTGACCAAAGTCTGGGAGAAACCTTCACTGCTGAGCTTCAGCAGCGTCTCCCACCATTCCTCCCACCCACCCTGCCTGCCCAGCACTGCACCTTCCTGGAGGCCGGCAGCACCAATTCCTATGCTAAGTCATCCAATTAAAATAAAACCCCAAACCTAAATTTAACTCCTAGAGATGCAATTATTCCTATATATCAGAGTCCTATTAAAAATAAATGGGAACTGGTGCCACAGTGCTTAGCATCCTGGGAATTTTAAGCTGCCAAGGGAAATTATGACGAAGAGCGGGAGAAGGGCATTTAAACACACTTGACATTCAACAGATTCACTCCTGGAATGTATTCATGAACACATTTGTCTCCTTCAGCAAAAAAAATACTTTGCATTCTTGGTCCCAGGCTGAGCACAATTGTTTCCTGCTTTGCTATCTATAGAACTGCTTTTCAGGCCCAATTTCAGGATGTTATTTAGGGCCATAACAGCCAATGCTTTCAGTGATCCTTCATGATATTATTTGTTGGAAATAACAGTGACCTACCTGTTAGCTAACATCAGGTGCAGGTAATATAAAAATGTGTTATTCATGAAACAAGCAACAGTTAACCACAAAAGGCATTTTCTGGGCTATTCAAGGTGCCCTAGAATACAATTAGGTTTTCTATTTTCAGGGACAGAATCTTATGTATATGTATGATCTGCCCACAAAAACGTGAGCAATTCTGTAATAGCTGAAAAAACATATTTACAGTAATGAGACTAATAAAAACAGTGTTTAATATTGGCTTATTGTGAGGAAAGAAAACAGACTGGGAGGAGTGGAAAAGAATGAGATCTGGATTAAGAGAAATCAAATTGCTGTAGACATAATAGAAGTTATCAGTCTAGTATTTCAGCTTTCAAGGCTGTCAGTTTAGTATTTCTCAAAAATATCCACACAATTAGGCAGACAAATATTACCCCATATGGACCTATTTGATCTAGACTGTATTAGAAAGTACAGACTAAAATTTGTACTCTTGTGTCCTTCTTCAAAAGAAAAATTCACAAAGATTTATATATTACATGCCCCAAAATATACACAGATATATAAAAATAACAGAATCATAGAATTAGTTTCTGGAAGGGACCTATGGAGATCTCTAATCCAACTGCTTGCTCAACGATGAGCCACCACTAGCGTAAGATTAGGTCAGATGTGGTTTTCTCTAGTTGAGTGTTGAATATTTCTGAGAATGGTAATTCCCTAAACTCCCTGGGGAGTATTGCACTCATCACTAGTGAAAAGATTTTTCCAAAATGAACCTTCCAGGCCATAATTTGTAGACTTTGCCCTTTGTTATATTGCATGGCACCACCTGGGATAGTTTGTCTCCATTATGTCTTTAATTCCTCTTCATGTAATTTTAGGTTGCTATTAACTCACTCTTAACTTCTTCACCAAACTGAACAAGCCCAGTTCCCTCAAGCTCTTTTGGTAAGTCAGGTGTGGTAGGACACTGATCATCTCGGTTGCCCTTTGTTAGACCCCCTTCAGTTTTCCATGTATTAGTAACTAGATAGATGATCTGAGTTGTATAATTGCTAAAAGAAATTACTGATATGCTACTGTTCTGTTTACCATATAATAGAAATAGTCGATCTTTGCACTGCCAGACTGATGGATGTCATTCAGGGTGATGCGCAAGGTATCTCCAGGTGCCACGAGAGTATGCGGGATGCTGATGCTGAGGTAGTTTGGGGAAGCAGACTGGTATCTTTCAGCTCTGACACTGGCTTCAGGTGATTCTAACTTTTCTTTTCCCTCTTCAGCCTTTACCTGTCAGGGAAGAAAAAAGAGTGAGTAAAGTGTCCGTCAGGAACCAATGTAGAATGTCACCCTTAATTCATATCTTGCCAGGTTATTCAGAAAATGCTGGAAAATGAGATAAGTCACTGCTGAGACTTCACTAGCAGAACCTGGCATCAGAAAATAGGATTTGCATTACTTTATTCTTTCACACTCTTTTGTCTTTGCTATATTTGCACTTGATATTTTTTCAGGCTTGGCTTTTTCTGAATGAGATTCAATGGCTCAAAATCAAAGTAATTTTGTACTTCAGCAGCTTTTTTTCCTTTTTGTATTGTGCACATAATTGAGCCCTCTGAATGTCCAGATGTAACCTACTGTCTGTATTGCTCCGGACCTTTTCCTTCTCCATCTTCTCATTGTTTTCAGTCACTTCTCATGGTGACGTTCCTTCTAGTCCCAGTCCCATCCTCCATGCCAGGAAAATGCACATCCGAACCACAAAAAAAGCACCACTACCACCGATGGATGTACTCTCAAAGCTCCAAAGACACTCCACAAGAGAAGAGTGCCCTTCACTTCAGTGAGGCATCCCTCCGGCCCCTCATGTCTCTAACATATCTTACAAAGCTGTGCAGATGGTGTAAGGAATCATGTTCCACCATCTGTGCTAATATAATGCACACTAATCATCCTTACAGTCATTTGTAATTGTCTTATGAGCTGTTCTCAGCAGTATATTTTTAAACATGAATGTCTGAGGTTTCTTTACCATTATTTGAAGCATCTGAGCATCTCCAGGGATGTCAAATATAAAGGAGATTAGACCGTCTTTATTAGAAAGTGCAGTCTTCTTCACTGGGGGTTTTCCAGGCAAGGTGACAGTAGCAGTGACAGGTAGAGAGGCAGCAGGAGAGCCATCAATCAAAGTGACAGAAGCACTTCAAGGAAATGCCTGGGTTTAAAAAAATGCCCACAAACAAGAAGCAATTATTCCTATAAACTGAGAAGAAATATAAAACTCTACACATTAGTGTTTGAAAATTTGAGCTTTGAGAGAAAGGGATAGCGACTGACTCAGTCTGAACTCCAGCGAAGGTAAAAATATGTGAACACAGATTAAGAGCTGCTCCGGATTTTCACTTAGCATCTATTTGATCTCAGCTGATCGCAGAGATATTTGTCTTTAACTATTATAAGGTAAATTTCTAACTTTAACCCTTTGTAGAAAACCTTGAAGGTGTAAAGTTTAAAACCTCAAAAATTTAAATGCAGGTTTTTTTAAAAGACAATACCCAGTTTTAGTTTTAAGAATTTTAATTTGATACGGGCTTAATTTGATAGAACATTATTATTCTGATCTTTTGATATGGAAGTGAGGGAGAGATTGCTACATGTTTTATAAACCCTTGTAGTGCAGCAGTGCGCAGATGCCTTCCAGAACAGAACCACAGCATTTTCTGACTTCAGTTTCCCTGCTCACGCTCTGTGTGTACAGAAACGAGACAAACCAGGCACACAAACAGCAGCTCCATCTTGGACCTATTCTTGAAGGTCTCTGCCCTACAGATCTCCCACTGGATCAGATAAGGATTTATAAATGGGGTTGATACAAATCCCTTGCTATGGAGGCAAACGGACCCAGCTGGCTAAGTGCTACATACCACAACAGAGAAGGAGGCTCCAGGCACAAAAAACTTTTTGGTGTTAGACAGATCAACAACATAAGGAGATTTCACAAACTTCACATTGGTGAGTTCCTCTTCCCTCATCTCACCACCTGTAAATATCAAACAGTTTGTGTTGTTATGGGAGCAGTAACTACGCACTTGCATACTACCATAGCATCCATAATTTCTGTTTTCAAGATTAACTGCATTTTTAGCAGTGTATGTAAAGAAAACTGAAATATGATCCTTCCCCAAAGACCTTCAGTCCTGAGAAGAGGAAGAGGTGGGTGCAGGCAGATGGGGAACACAACCAGAGACTGGTGAGAGCAAGGACAGTGCTATGTGCGGTGCTCCAGCCAGAGGCACGGGCAGGGGTGTGCTCTTGACAGCTCAGACACGGAGACCTACAGAGTGGGCTGTTACTCATGAAAGAAAAATTCCCCTCCAACACACGGATGGGAACAAGGTGCCTTCAAACACAGAGCACACTGGTACCACAGGAGCCACTGTGGCCGTGCACACAGTTTACCAAGCTGCTGGGGTGTTCGTTCCTGGGGGGAGGTTACATCAAAGTCCAACAGAAAAGTCACTCAGAATCAGTAGAGGGGTTTGGGCCTTAGATCTCTAATTTTCTGAAAGAGTTTTTTTTTCATTTTTGACTACTAGTGAGAGTTAATATTACCTAATATCATCATCTGCAGCTTTACACCTGCAAGACCGCTTGAGCATCTGTTTCCCATCTAAGATTCTTCCAAGTTAAACCACTTGAATACTAGAAATTCTTCTAGTTATCTTCTAGTTAAACTACTACACATAACTACTTCCAGAAAAACCCCAGTTACATGGATTGCTTTAAACTAAGTGCGTTTAGAAACATACGTTCAATGCCCTTATTTTCCACTTTAACACTCCAAGGTTGAGAAGAAAAGAGTAAGCTCCATGGAATGTAGAAGGAGGGTCAGGCCACTTGGGAGACATACAGGAATGCTGCCAGAGCATGTAGGGAAGCAACTAGAAAGGCTGAGGGTCACCTGGAACTAAGTTTGGCAAAGGATATCAAGGATAACAAGAAGGGCTTCTTCAAGTACATCAGCAGTAAACGTAAGACCAGGGGTAATGTGGGACTGCTGCTGAATGAAATGGGTGCCCTGCTGACAGAAGATAAAGAGAAGGTGGAGCTACTGAATGCCTTCTTTTCTTCAGTCTTCACTGTCAATGCTGGCCCTCGGGCTCCCCAGTCCTTGGAGGTAAGTGAGAAAGCTTGGAGAAAGGATGACCTTCCCTCAGTCGAGGTGGATCAGGTTAGGGATCTTTTAAGGAAGCTGGACACCCACAAATCCATGGGCCCTGACGGAATGCACCCGCGAGTGCTGAAGGAACTGGCAGACGACATTGCTGAGCCACTTTCCATCATCTATGAAAGGTCGTGGAGAATAGAAGTGCTTGAGGACTGGAAGATAGCCAATGTCACTCCAGTCTTCAAAAAGGGCAAGAAGGAGGACCCAGGGAACTACAGGCCGGTTAGT